GGTGGTGAGCTTGCCTGTAGGTCATGTCCACAAAGACTTCCCCGTGAGTAAGAGACAGTGCAGTCACGGGAGGGATCAGTTATTCCCATCGTGAGTCATCCGGGAAAGAAGCAGATCTGGAATTAGAAAAGGTGATTGAAAATCGGAGAAACTCCCATCTAACAAGAAAGTCCCTCTAGGGCACGGAGGAAATGTGGCTTCGGCCACGTGTCAGAGGCCAGAAGAGGCAGCCCCTTAAGTGGCCACTTGAGAACGAGAATAGCTATACCAATAATCAGTTTTAAATTTTCTTTGAGTAGTTATCGCCCATTATATCATTTCCTCTTTAGGAGAGTGTCAAGAAGCCCTCTGTCTTTAAGTCTCGGCTGTGCTGTTGAGATTTAAAGGATATGTCTGTGCCCAACATGGATGAAAGGGAAAAGTGTGAGTCTCACTTAAAGAAATCCCTAAGGGGGTCAGCGAATAACAAGTGCAACAGCTAATATGATTTAAGAGTCGTGCTCAGTGAGATCGGGACACTTAAAAATATTAAAATAGCTGTATGGGGTTCTAGTTATCAAAATGATGCACGATGCAGTCAAGATAACAGGTGTTTCAAGAGAGGAGATTTGGTCCGTACAGGTGGTAGGAATCTGACAGTTCAAAAAGCAGATGTGAAAGAAACCAGGAGATTAATAACTACAGAGCAGGGTGCCACCTACAAGGGCGGGGGAGCAGAGGGAAGAGGCAGGGGTCCCAGGACCTGAGGCTGACGGCTCCATGGGGGGTGTTTGGAACTCTGAGGAGGGAGACTGACATGGCAGGGGCTTCGGTGGACCAGAGGGCACAGCCGAGAGGGTGAAGGAGCGCAGAGAGTGGCCAGTACCCACAAAGCAGGGGGATGCACCCCTCCTGCTGCTGGCACGTGTGAGAGGATGTGGCAGAGCTGGTGCCATGCGTCTGAGGACACAGGGTTGAGACAACTGCCTGCCGCTGCTCTCGTCTCTGGAAAGCAGAGAGGGGTCCTTCCTCTTCCTCCCCCTGCCTTCCTGTCTCCCTCCAGTGCCTCTTGTTGGCAGAGCCCACCAAGAAGCCAACTGGTCAGGGAGCCCGAGCGTTGTAATTTTCAGAGCTCAGAGGCAACTAACTCGTGAGAACCAAACACAAAGCATCCATTTATTGAGCGTCCGACACACACTAGCATTAGGCTTATGACTCTGTATATGCGACTTCTTTACTTTCAGAAAATAAAATGCTCTTCTTGTTTCCAAGGGTGAAAAAGGACAACATCGTTGTTGCAGAAAATTCCAGTGTAAAAAAAAGCTTAAAGAAGGAAGTAAAAAGCACTCACGTTCAGGGCTACCGCTTTGCATTTCCCAGGGCTTCACTCACATTATAATCTGTGGTAATTGCAGAGCGCCTCCAGAATTTTGTAACGTGGAGGCCTTTTCCGAATCAGGCTGCCTGGAGAGAAATACCAGAGCAAGTCGAAGAAGATCCATGAGCCTTATGTTTGCAAATCGAAAGCTTCATGTATCTCGGCTACTTCTTTAAATGTATTTCTCTCTCTATATATATATCTATTTTAACTTTTGCAAGGTAATGTATTGTGTAGTGTCGTTTATAAACTTACAACATCTTCCTATGGCAAAGAATACAAATGACATTATCAGTTTTTAAAACAGCAATGCCATGTTATCGATGGGCCATATGTAATTTAAACAATTCTCCACTATAAACAATAGACAGGCGAATATTCTCGCTACCGTCTTAGTGAATTTCTCCGGTCATTTCCTTAAGGTAAATTTTTCACAAATAATCTGTTGAGTCAAACGTTATGTGTATTTTATATCTGGTACCTGCTATTTCCAGATTATTTAGAAAATATGTGGACGCGCCTTCCTACCCCTGTGGCGTGAAAATGCCTGGCCAATACTAGCTCATGCTGCAAATGATCAATCCTCTAATTTTTGTTGTTGTTGTTGTTAATCTGATAGGATAGAAATATAATTTTAATATTTGATAGCTATGAAAAAAGTAATTACTCCCATTTTGCAGATGGAAAAAAAAAATAAAACTGAGGGAAAAGATTGGGTGGCAGAGGCAAGGCCGGCCCCGTAGCCGGTGTGCTGGAGTCAGGCATTAAACTCGGGTTTGCCTGGCTGGCGGTCTTTCTAGTCGGCTGTGTCAGAGCATCCGAACAGCCGTCCTCGTGAGGCCCCACTCGGGGTTCTGGCTGGCGGTCTTTCTAGTCGGCTGTGTCAGAGCATCCGAACAGCCGTCCTCGTGAGGCCCCTCGTGAACATTTGGAGCATGGAACTCGCGAAGCTGTTGAACGCCAAATACAGGTCTGTTAGGTCTGACATTTTCTCTCCAGGTAGGTCAGTCCAGACCAGAGCAAGGGCTTTCAACGGCTTCGAGCCACCTCTGTGAGAGATGACCTGTCGGATGCATGTTCGGTTAAATATTAGTACTCACGTGTCGGCATACCACTCCTAGTGTTTTGCTACAGATTAGACTGGAGGAGAATATTCATATTCTGTCCATGTAAGGTGCGATTTTTGTTGACCCTGTGGGCATCATCCTTCCTTAGCCTCCTCCACTTCCTTCTCCTGTTAGTTTTCATGCGCTGTCTTTACAGAATGACCAGGGACATATCAGAGAGCCTGGTTTGAATGTTCGGGCAGTCTCCAACAGGCCAGGGCTTAATGAGTATGGGGCCTTCAGGAATTTCCAAGCTGGAGGATTTATGCCCTTAGGGCTTCTGCTGGGTCACGTGGAGAAGTGATTCTCTCTTCAGTCTCTGTCCATGTTTGGCTTCGAAGCACAGATTTTCTGAATGTCTCGGGGCGTGAGTTCTGCACAGTGCCCCGCAAAGCGAGGGCAGTGGACCAGGGATCCTTGGTAGGGGGTGCTCAGGTGAGACAGGAAGAAGCAGGGGAGACCAGTGAAAGCAGAGGGAGACTAGCTGTCAGGTGATTAGCCTCCTGTGATCTCTCTCTCTGTCTCTGTCTCTCTGTCCCTCCCTCCCTCCCTCACGCACTCAGCAAGGCGCTGTGCTCCCCTCTCAGAAGGCTTAGATAATCACAAACTGAAAAGCCCATCAGGAGAAAGTCTCACATGCCGCGTGGCCTCTGGGAGGCTGAGCGATTACATCTGTATTGTCATGGTCGCGATGACATGACATGACATGATACGAGAATCGTACTCTTTTGAGCTCTTATTCCAGAGTTTTAGCTCCAAATTCTCCTTTCGGCAAGGCCAGGGGAATCCACATTCCCCCTGGGGAATGTCCCTGCGGAATGTCTGCTAGCCAGAGATGATATTTCTTCGCAATTAGAGCTTAGCCTGTACCAGCCACGTGTCCCTTCAGTATTGAACTCAGCGGCTCTTCCTGGGAGCTGACGTGGGAATTTAAACTTGCAATCATATTCTTTTAAAACATAAATTGTTTTTGCTATTTTGTACTGTTTGGAACAGACCAGACTTATCAGCCGAGGGATATTTTTTCCTCGATTTGTTTTTAGGGAAATTTGTTTTAAAAATTTGAGCATGGAGCCGAGGTTGGCTGTTTGGATAGAAATGTCAGTTGGGTCTGCGTCTGCCCTGTCTGCGTGTGTCTGTATCGAGGGAGTCTGAGGGGTGGGGCGTGAGCAAAGGGTCTTCGATCTGTTGGCTTTACTGCAATGAGGAAATCTGTTATTCTGCTTTAGAAGGGATAATTTGGTCTGAGGGACTGTAACTTTCTCCTGCCCTCACCGGAAAAAAAAAAAAAAAAATGGACTGCTCACTCCATTTTCCAAGACTTCACAAGGGAACATTGATAGGAATCTTTTGATCTTACGGGGTTTTTTTAAACTTCATAAAATGAAAGACAGATACCCATTTTGTTTTCCCCCCCCCCCGCCCCCAAAGATGCAGAAGTAACTGTTTTCTGCCTTGAATTCTTTCCTTGCACATGTCGGTCGGGAATTCTCCAATCCTGGTCTGTAGGGATTTTGCCAGGCATCCTCAGTTTTCCTCCCAAGATGTGGAAGGCTGTATTGAAATCCACGAAGGACGTGTGGCCTCTGGTGCCCCTGTCCAAACCTCTGTGCACACCGTTGTCCCCCCTTGTCTGGGGTTCTCCTGTGACGAAATTCCGTGAGGCCTGGCACGTCGATCATCCCTGTGTCTCCACGCTGTAGAAACTCCCTGTTAGCCACGCCATAGCCGGCTCGGTTATCAGATCGTCTGTCAGGTATCAACGCTTGTGTCCACGTGACTCTCATTTCACTTAATTGGGGCCCCCAAGTGGAAGCGAATAGTCAGACACGCCAAAGAGAGGCCGTCAAGTGCTTATTACATATCGTCAGGGGGTCCTGCGTCACAGTGCCTCTGCCATTCACAGCACCACGAGAAGGCTGACAACAGGACAGCAAGACATTCTGAGAGGACGGGAGGGCACACTCACTTCACTTTTGTTACAATACATTGTTATAATTGATCTATGTTGTTATTAGTTATTATCGTTAACCTCTTGCTGCGCCTGCTTTATAAATTAAACCTTATCATAGGTGTGTATGTACAGGGAAGAGCAGGTTCTATACAGGGATGGGTCCTGTCCGTGGTTTCAGGCATCCACTGGGGGTCTCAGAACGTGTCCCTGTGGATAAGGGGGGACCGCTGTACACCACGGGCCCGGTCTGGGCTGAGAGAACGTTTGAGGGCCCTGGTTCGAGGGAAATGCAGCACACTCAGTCTTACTGATCCAGACGAAAATCGCTTGCTCTGGGAACGCGAAGGTCCTGCTGCTAAGTCATTTGCATAGTGTTAAGTGATGCATCGTGCTGGAGCGAGGGTTCTGGGGGGCCCTTGCTGACCACAGCCTGCATGCGGAGGGGGGACAGGAACACAAGCACTCCATTTGCCTTCCTCAGACAGGCAGTTTCGAATAAATGTGACTATTTATTATTCCTAAATTTAGGGTTATTAATTATATCAGCATCAACCTAATTTATGCCATCATAAACAGCAATAATAAATGCTGCCAAATGCTAATACCCAGCTCTTGCCAACTGTGATGGTCCCCCTCCCCCCCACCACACACACACACTTCCCAGAAGCATTAAATTAAAAATGATTCAGTGTTGCAGAACCATTGATCAAGATGGGGCTGAGGCTCTTGGGGAAAGGCGCTTGTTTTGTTAAATGCTTTGCTCCCTCGCTGGCCCGGCAACTTCCGACATCTGTCTGCTGCACTCCAGTGCTTCCCGTCTCTTCCCCTATGGGAGGCGGAAATGGGGTGCGGGCAGGACGAGAGGTACCCCAGCCTCTGCTCCTTCTCAGCGTCCCCTTCCCACACCTCTCTCTCTGTCTCTCTCTGTCTCTCTCTGTCTCTCTCTCTCTCTCTCTCTCTCGGAGTCCACACTCCTCACGCTTCCTTTGCACAGACGCCGAGAAGTCTTTGTAAAGCAAACCCTCGGGCGTGACATGAACGTGTTCCCCACACGACACGGGAGTCCGTGCCCGGAAAAGAGGAGGCCCAGCCCTGACCTCTGCCAACACCGGGGGTGCTTTTCCTCGTGCCGTTTGCTCTCAGCAGGGCTCTGCTTTCGCGAGGGTGGAGGGCAAGCCTGTTCTGCGTTTGGAGTTCTAATTCTCAGAGGAAACAATTTGTACTTTTCCTTGTTCTCTCTGCCTCTCTTGTTTTCCACGTGGGGGGTCTTCAAGGAATTCTCACCAGGCGACCAGAAGACCCCCAGGGCTTCAGCCAGAATTAGCCTCTTTCCAGCCACGTGGCTTTCGAAAAGTCACTTAACCTCTCCACTCCTGTTCCCCACCCCCCACCCCCAACTTAGGAAGGGGCTGGTGAGCCCTAACCACCGAAGCTCACATGATTAGCATCCTGATCAAAGGCCGCTGTGCTTTGAATCTGTTAAGCACCCTGGGAAAGCGCCGAGCAGGGTTCCTCTGGTTGTGTTCTGATGTCTCGGTTGCCGTGGGGGGCCAGGCAGAGCTATTCCCCGTGGCCAAGCCCAGCAGGCTCAGCATTCTCTTTCCTGATTCTGTTTCTCGGTTTCCCAGAGAGATCCAGGGTCAGGGACCACAGAGGGATAGAAATGCTACAGAGGGAAGGACAGGGTCAAAGGTGAGGAGGACTCCTTCATA